ACAAATGTGGTTGTAATTGTGAAAGTTAAAGGTACTGACGAAATTCTTGGAGGATATAATCCTATTGGATGGGATAATGCGGTTAATCTAAAACATCAGTATTGTTACGAGAGCTTTATTTTTTTCATTGAAAAATAGTACAATTCAAAATTCTATTTTAAGTCGTGTGACAAACCCACATTATGCAATTTATTGTGATTATGGATGTGGACCAGTTTTCGGTGGTGCTAGTGGTATCTATGATCTAGTAATTTATAATCCTTCTAATCTATGTTATAGCCGTTTAAGTTCATATGAAAAACGAATTAGAGATGAAACTACATATGATTATAGTGACTTCTCATATTTTTCAGTGGAAGAATACGAAATATTTCAGATTAGTAAAAAGTCCTAAAATTCCTTTCGCTTTTAGGTTTTATAATAGCATGAGTAAATGTCAAAATGAATACACGGAAATCTTATAAATTGGCAGGAGTTGATTCTTCACTTATGTTAATAAAATCAAATACAAAATATAGAAATTCATTACAATATACTAAAAAATAAAGTCAATTTTATTCTTATATAATTACTTCATATCGCCTGCGGCAATTATCACCGCATTATCATGTAACAAATAAATGTGCGATAACCTTCATGATTAAGGCATGCTGAATAAATTTTATTAGTCTAAGATAATAGTATATAGATTTATACTCTAATGTTGATATAGAAGTTTATTACTTTCTGATTAAAATAATAAAAGCAAGATTGTCAAAAAACTTTAAATTAGCTCAAATTAAATAGGTTTTATATATATTATAATCTTGTAATATTCTATATATGGGATCTTTGGTAGGAAAATCACCCTTCGACATTTTCCGATCGGGAAAATTCAAACCAATATTACCGGTATTTACTTGCATATAATCATTTTTGCCTTTATTGGTTAAAACGTTCATTCGATAAGCTGTTGAATCAATAAAGGAAATCATGATTTACATGTAAATAAGACCCTATACGTTGGTTAAAAACGTTCCGAATTAGCCCGATCGGAAAATGTTGAAGGGTGATTTTCCTAGCAAAAATCCCATATGCTACTTATACTAAAAAGATTTATAGATTGAGTACTATTAATATAAACACATAAACTTTGTTATATCAAAATATATAATTAGCATAGGAGAAACCAGTATTCGAAATCTCAGACTCAATGACTGTTCTCATGAGAACAGAAAAAAAGCTATAAGTGTTTTCAAACTATAGTTTACCCCCTATAAGTTAAGCTAAATGTATTCACATTTATTAATAAAATTTTTTTGTTTTGATTGGCTCTAATAGAAGATCTTTTTCAATCATTTTCAATTGCTTTCCCCAAAGAGTTTTTATAGAAGCAAAAGTAGGTGCTAATAAATTATAGGGCTTGTTTATTTTATGCTATTTGTAGTTTATTGAACTTCTGGCACGTTTAAATTAATGAATTGTTAGAATAATTATTCAAATTTTTAAGCTTACATACTTTATAATTAGTTTTTCAAGACTTGTTTTGATCTCAAAAAATTTATCCATTTATATTGAACATTAAATTAATTTATTAATCATTTAAATATGTCTTGCAAAATCTGTATATTATACCAATAGAAGAGGATGTCCACCTTTCTATAGAGACTTAGTAATTTATTTCATTTTTTTGGTAATATAATAGTTGATATATAATTGCTTGGATTTTAAGTATCAGAACCAGAATTGGATTAACATATTGATTCAATATTTTTTTCATGATAGGTATTTTAGTTAAAGCTTCTGATATAATTATATAAATGAAGCTTCAGATTATAAGGTCTAACAATACTATATAGTCTTTATTATAAGATTATATAAAATTTTTATTGCATCTGTTTTTAAAAATTCTCAATCTGTTTGGTTTTAATAATTTCTTAATAGTATGTATCTTAATATATATCAGATTAAATACAATTCTATTTTAAAATTTTTATTAATTATTATATATTAAACTGATTGAAGAGAGTTAATATATATAATATCAAACTTGTTATTCATATTTTAAAATTAATATATAAAAAGAAAAAATCTATAAGATATCAATTGTTTAAAGTTTGGGTGCTACAAAAATTAAACCTACAAATTTATTAGATAAGATTTTTAGAGTTTATTTTTGTGGTACTCATATTTGATATAATATAATTAAAAAACTTTATTATTTGTATAAATAATATTTTAATTATAATTGTTGTAAATAGAAAAATAATAGATTTATTAACTATTATAAATAAATAAAATAATTTATTCTTTAAAAAAACAGATAATTAGACTCAAAGAAATATAATAATCTATAAATACAAAATAACTAGACTTGGATTAAGTTTAGTATAGCTCTTAATCAATTTTTATTTAGAACTACTAGTTATATATGATATTATATTTAGATCCTTATATAATTTTATAAATATTTTTATTACAAATAAAAAGTTTATATTTTGCATTACTAGTATTAAATAGAGGTTTGCAAATACTTATATTAGTATATAAATACTATATTAGATACCAGTATCTTGTATTGTACTAATAGTTATAAACACAAAAATATTAGATATTTTTAGGCTAGCACTTTTGTATCATATCTACAAATATAAAATTATAAGTTTAAACAACAAAAAACTTTATAGTAAAACTAAGAAAAATTAAAGATACAAATACTAAAAATTAAAATATTAGATACAAAGCATATGTCTAATATACAGAATTCTAATATTAAATTACAAATTTTATACTTATAAAAAATAAAGCATTTCTATTTGTATATAATGTGTATATACATAATTAATATAAAAAGCCGATCAGATTATATAATTAGGTATAATATAACATTATTGCTTTCTCTGAAATATTACTAATATTTCAAATTTTTATTTATAAAACTACCTTTTAGATTCTAACAAAAAAAATTTCTTGCAAAATTTTGATATAAGCTATAATTTGCCTAAATTCTAAATATACTCTTACTCTAACTTGAAGTAGGAGCTTAATTTTTTGTTATTTTAATTAATATATTACAAAATTTACAAATTAACACTGGTGTTCAAACACACTATATACAAATAGTAATTTTTTAAAAAATAAACCTATTATAAAAATATTTTAAAATTATAAAATTATTATATTGCTTGTAAAAAAATATATTAGATTAGCAAAAATATTAGCATTAGCATATAAAATTAAAGTATAATATATTTTTATTAAATAAAGTATGGAATTTATAGCTAAAGTGTGAAATTTATAGCTAAAATTAGTAATATTAATATCAGAATTTTTTTAATTTATTATATAGAATTTTCAGTATTTATATAGAGACTAGTCAATTAAAAGAGAGTTATAGCTTTTTTTATTTTGAGAAAATCATATTTCAAATTTGGTATAACAATAACAATAACAATCTATTATTAGTATAATCAGTTAGATTAATATAAATTAACTAATTACATAAATACTTCTCTATGACTTTGCAACAAGAATTGACAACTAGATTTCTAAATTCTAATTTTAGATTACAAATAATTATATATAGATATTTGAAAAAGTAGGCATTAACAAAAATTTTATTATATAAATTGATATTTTAAATATCAAATTATATAGAAGAATATCTGCTTTATATAATAGTATAACTAATTTATTTTTGCAAAAAATGCTATAAACCTCTTTTTAATTGACCAATTTCTATATAATTTTTTTTTGAATATTATTGTCTAGTACTGCATACAATATCTGGGGTCTTATTCAAAAACAACATTTTTTAAATTGAATAGTACTCGTAGGTACTGTGTTAGAAACAGGGTACTATTTTTAAAGAGATATACTATATAGGAGGTATTGTATGTGGGATATTATATAATGATAATTATAAATAGTATTTATATCAATAGGTGTGACAATTGATAAAAAGTTTATCATTATCATGCAGGGTCTATCTGTATATAATTATATGCATAATAATAGTACTGTATTATGTATGTACAGTATATATATACATACTAGTTATGAACTAAAATTGTATAAAAGAGAAAGATTGATAAGTAATAGATTAATTCTTTTTTCCAAAATTTAAAGTGTCTACCTTTCTCTCAACAAAATATTATGATAGCAGAATGATATGTATATACTGTATTAAATAAGTTAAAAGCATGGTTAATATCAGTATTAGTAAATTTTGAAAATATAATTTAAACCCCAAGACTTATCTATACTATTTATTATAAGATTAATTGAAAAAGTATCATCCGAGTGAGTTAGAATTAAAAAGAATAGTACTATTGGTAAAAATGAACTGTTTTAATTTTAACAAAAAAACAGAATAGTCTGTAAAAAAAATAAATAAATAAAATAAAATAAAATAAAACAAGAAATAAAAATAAAATAAAAAAATAATAAAAAAAATAAAATAAAGATAAATAAAATAAAATAAAATAAAATTAATAAATAAATATAAGTTTTATGCTAGATAAAAAAGCATTGTAAGATATAAAAAGACAAAATAATGTTGCATTATGTAATTAATTTCTATTTTTTTTGAACTATTAAATCACTAGAAGTCAAGAAATTTAATACATAATGAAATTATAAACAAATATTTTCAGACTTAAACAATTCACAAAAAATCAAATTTCGAGTCCAGGATTATCTAAGCAGTATGATAAAATATTTCTGAAGATAGCATTTATGAAATTATATCTTGTGCTATTTTGAAATTCTTTTTAGTCAAGTTTATGAAAACAACTAATATTTATTTATTATTTTGAATCATTCTTTTAAATAATATTAATAAGATTAACAACAAATTGTGGCAAAATTGTTTATAAGACATCTATTTGCTATATTGAATAACAATAATATGTAGATTCAAATTCACAAAATAGTTTTAAATAACTAGAATAAAAGTATGAAGACTTATATAGTACAGATAAAGATAGAATAAGAATAATTGATCACTTTTACAATATGAAACCTGAAATGTCCTTGAATAATTTATGTAATATTAAAGCAGATTTTGTACTTCTGATTTGTCTCGCGTATATTTAAAAAAGTTGCAAAAAAATTTAATCTAAAAAAAATTTAGCATCTTTAAAATACTAAAAGAAAATTTTAATGCACAATGAGTGATTATTACACAAAAAAAATATCAACAATAGGATGCTTACAAAAAGTTAATAGTTGTATTTTATCAAAAAAGTAGGTATAGTATTTGAGTAACAGCAAAAAAATTGAAATCTAACCTAAGCAAGTTCGTGACTGGAAAAAAAAATTGATTTAATGAGTGCAGCACTATATATTTGATAACTTAATACTGGTACAAGGCCCAAGTATCCATAATTAGAAGATGAACTTTTAAAGTAGTTTTGTAAACTACGAAGACAACTAAAAACTGTAACAAGATATATAATTAGTGCAAAAGTCTGTAGTTTGGCTAGCAGACAAGAGTATTATACTTGTATCCAAATATTTTTAAATATCAATTTTTACAAAAATGAGTAGATAGATTTATGTCTTGTAAGAGATTAGTAAACCGCTAACGCACTACAACTACTCAAAGATTGCCTGAAAAATATTAAGAATTGCAACAAAATTTTTTAGTATATGTTTTTTATCATCAAACTCAACATAACTACCCTTTAAATTTAATTGGCAATATAAACAAACCCCCTATATTATTTAATTTACCAAGTCATACAACTGTTGAAGAATATGAAAAGCAAACAGTCTCAATTCTTACAATAGATTATGAATATACTAATTTTACTGTAACTCTTGCCTGTCTTGCAGATAGTACTAAGCTTCTACTTTTAATTATTTTTAAGTTAGTTAATATATTACAAGAGCAATTTTCTGATAATATATATGTTCATGCAAATCTAAATGGCTAGATGAACAAAAATAAAATGATTTGGTAGATAAAGAATGTGTAGTGCCGATGAGTTAGTTTAGGATTAAATCTACACTCATTTCTTGTTCTTGATTCATTTGCTAATCTTGTAACAGATTTTGTGAAATATTACTTTCGTAAAAAAAATACAAATATGGCTGTAATTCTGTCTAAACTAACCTCATGCTTGCAACTATTAAATATATCTTTGAACAAATCATTTAAAGCAAAAATTAGTTTAGTTGACATATTAATATTAGACCATAAAAACTTAATTAATTGGTCCTTATAACCTGGCCAGGTCAAATTCAACAAACTTTTAAAAAAATTTTTTACTCTATTTACTATCTAGATGAAATTATTTAAATTTTTGTAAAAAAATTTTACATGTTTTTTACATATAAAATTTTTTGAAAATAAAATTAAAAGCTGGGTTGTTAAGTTGCCAGGTTATTTTTAAAATTTTATATTATAAGAACCAAAAAATTAGTTTTATATAGCCTTATATATAAAAATTTATTAACTTTATTGTTTTAATATAGATTTATTATGCATATAATCAATAGGTAGATAAGGCAGTAAAAGAATATATACCAACTGGAAAAATTAAATAACTATTATACTCATTAGTAACAACATAGATCAAAAAAGTGTGAAATGAAATTGATACTGCAATAATACAATGATCTTTTAAGCATTGTGGTATTTTTACAGAGATGGATAGCTCTGAAAACAATTTGATTTTTGATTTTGAGAGAGTTCCAGATATAAAAGATGTAGAATTGATATTGAAGAGAAAGAAGAAAGTAATAATCTAGTTTTAGAAGATGCAGAAGAAAGTAATAAACCAATTCTGGAAGATGCAAAAGAAAGTAATGAACCAGTTCTGAAAGATAAAAATAATTCAGATGACAAATATCATGAAAATAAAAAGACAAATTATACTAATATTTGAAGCTAAGTTTCATTAAATTGTAAAAAATAATAAATAATATGTTATTAGTTATTATTAGCAAGAAATAAATATTAAAATTAATTGATTATTTCTTTATCTTACCTGGTTTTATTTGGTTATTTATTTAAATTTAAAAATATATTATCATTAGTTTATTTTAGCTCAAATAATATATACGTAACAACTCATTACTTTATTAATATGATTGTTTTATTACTAGGAGAGTAAAGAAAATTTATTGAAATTATGCGTAAACAGACAATATTCTCTGGCAGCTAATATCTATTATTTGATATAATTGTATAAAAAATATTTTTCAAAAAAAATAGAATAAATAAAATTTTATTTTTAAATTGAATAAAGTTAAATAGATATTTCTAAACTAGATTTTATCACAGTAACAAATATTTGAGCTTTAATTTTTATTTTAGATCACCTTTTCTTTTTTATAAAATTTATAAGAAATTATGTTTTGTTTGTACTTTGGTTATATACATAACAATTATATATACTATATATTTTATTTTGTATATATAAAACAAATGATATATCATTAATTAAATCTGCTTGTGTAGTTTTGATTCTTTAATATTACAGATATTAAATTAATATAATAAATTTTACAACCTTATTCAAACCTTATTTACAATTTCCAATTGTAAAGAAATCAAATATAAAATAACTATTAAAGATTATATTAATCTAATAGTCAAACTTACATAATAACTATTTGTTATACTTTACTACTAGCCCCAAGACAGCTAAAAAAATAACTAGTCAAAAAGATAAACCTATTACTGATAATTTTATTTCTATTGAAACTTTCTTTAATACCTGTATATTAATCAATTTTCACAAAGTTCAACTTTAAATAGTACCTGAGTACTAACCATAACTAGGTCTTTGCAAATAGTAAATAATATCTGGGTCTTAATTATGAGGTACTATTTGATAAGAATACTTTATGCAGTACTAGATGGTAATAGTAAGACCATATCTTTGATTTTATTAAAATTTAATTTAATTCTTCTACAATAAAAAGAAAATCCTTACAAAAAAAAAATCCATTTAAATTTTATATTCTAAAATAGCAAGAAAAGAAACTCAGACTAATTTATCTGTGGTCTAAACCAACTAGAGTAGCTATAGCTCATCTAGATTTGCAGATTAGTAATTATATAGTTTAAATTTGTTTGATATTTGATCTATAAAAGATATGATAATACTATTTTAGCACTAGCTATAGTAAGTAGTAGAGGTTAGAAGACTGAAAGATAAAAAGAGATGAAACTAGTAGAGAAGGTATAGTATTATTAGAAAATTGAATTGAAGAATGAGAAATACAATAAGGTATCCAGATATTATGATAAATTTGTTAATTAAGATGTAAAAAAAATTTAATAGTAATAGTTGATGCTAATGTAGTAGATAAAGTAATATCTTTAAATAGATTTATAATATCAGGAAATTTTATAGACAGATATATATTGATTACTAACCAATGCAGATATATATCAATAATAATCACTCCTGCTGATTTCTATCTATTGTAATTATAATTAATATGTTGCAGGTTTGTTAGTAATCGATATATATCTACTTTGGCTAGTAATCGATATATATCTACTTTGGCTAGTAATCGATATATATCCACTTTGACTAGTAATTAATATATATTCAAGTTAGCTATATATCAAATATAATCCATATAAATCGAATTTAATCAATATAAATCAAACCTTATCAATATAAATCAAGTTTAATCGATATAAATCGATAGTTCTGCTAAGTAGGAATCGATTTATATCTAACTATTGATAACTATCAATATAAATCTAATTTAATCGATAATAATCATTTTATATCTTATATAATTTTTTAATTGTCAATCTCAAAACTTTTATTCAATAATTTTTAAATAAAGACTGTCAAACTTTTATTAAAACAATTTTAAAATTTATTATATTTTAAAGCATAAGCAATACAAATAGAATATAAAAAAAATAATACATTAAAAACACTAATACATTTTTTTAAAAAAATGAAAAAGAAAAAAATTTTTGCATGGCGCTGAATTATAACGATATTAATAGGCCCCAAATAAGTCATTCTGCTCTTCTTGTGAAAGCAATCCTGAAGAAACCCAAGAAACAGACTCACAATCAGGCGTAGCTTGTCTTGATTGTTCACCATCAAGGAAACATATTGCAAGTTCATTATCCATTATTAATTCTGCAGAATGATAACTAGGACCACCCTGCTCGAAATCACTCTATTTAAATAGAATAGAATAAATAATAAATATTAATACTGCTTTCGTAATAAAATGATTACTTACTAATACCTACTAAATATTTATCAATATGATGCAAAATGTGGTCTTCTTTACATAAAACTTTTTTTGATCACGGGTTTAAAAGAATATTGCACACTGCCAATGTGAACGCACAATGATAATTGGTCAAATCCGGAACGGTGGTCATGCTGAAAGCCATTCTTGCAATTATACTAATCCAAAGAAGGTCTATGTCGTTTTACTCAAAAAGAGCTCGATAACTATTCTGGACTTGTGGGCTTTTTTTCTATATGACTATATCAGCAGGGGCTGCATTGCTTTTAAGCAATAGTAGCTTCTCATAGCCAAAAACCTTTCAAATAGCAGAGTGAACATTTTGTAGCGCCGAACCTCGATAGTTCTTTATTTTCTGCAAAAGCTATTAAAAGATAATTAAATAATTAATTAAAATTAATGATTAAAATACAAATATGTAAATGATTAAAAGTTATCCCTTAAACTGTAAGCTTTTCCAGGCAAATTTGCCTGGAAAATTATCATAAATATAGTTATGATCTACTTTTTTTAAATTTTAATATATTTAAATAAAATTTTTTTTGATAATATTTGAAAATA